GTAATGTGAGATAAAACAAACATGAAAAAGCACGATCATGCTGGTATTAAAAGTATAGCATGTTGATAATTTAGGCCGCCAATAGCTCCTTTACATTTGCCGCTATTATCTCTCTCAGCTGCTGAAACCTGCTGTTTTAAAGGCAGGAAGAGTTAGAACATCTATAGAGTTCGCACCTGGGTTATTTATCATTAAGGCTAACTCTGCAACACTACATTTTATTATGCCAGCCTTAAAGGGAGATAACACAAGTATGGTTAATTTGCTTCTCTTCTTTATATATAGTGTCATGACCCACCACTGCTTTGTCCCATGGGGTGGGGGGGGAGAGGGAGAAAGGGAGAGAAGGAGAGGGTTTGGTTCCTTTTTTTCAGCCTAAAAAGAAATCTGCAAGAAACTCTCCCTCAAAATTCCATTAATAACCTCTTGTAGCGTGTTTAGGTTGCAGGGTCTGGAACTAAGCATGTTTTAATCTCTTTCAGCAAAACAATGTCTCGTAATGATGCACAGGACTATTGCTGTACTGCGGAAGAATCATACATAATTCAGCACCTTTCACTTGGCACCACTGTGATATCCTCATTAGCAGTGGCTCACAGTGGCTGTCAGATGGTGTCCATGCGAACGCAGGCATTATATTGTCTTTGAGATGTGCAGCTGCTTCCATGACACTGCCAGTATATAAAAACATGACGCCAGTTTGTTTTATTTAGTGCTAAACCTTCCAGTTTGTAAAAACAAGGCTGACACAGAGCCTGACATGAGGCAGTGAAAATAATTAGCTCTCATTTTCTCAGCCTCCTATTTCCTTCTCCCTGCTGTGTTCCCTTTCCACTAAACCACCACATGTCAGTCGAAATGGGAGGCAATTAGTGGGCTCATTTCAGTCCCCACAACTGTGCTGAAAAGAAAGTATTTATGATGGCACAATGAACAGCTGAAAGATTAAATAACATTTGCCTTTTGAAAAGAAAATGACTTCTAGCTAAATGGGCAATTTTTGATTATTCTCAAACAAGCTTAGAGTAGTTTGGTTTTTAAAAAAATACAAGAAAGGAAAATGAGTCATTTTTAGGTGAAAGAATCAAATAAAACTTGACACAGTAATGCAAATAACTGATGTTTTATTGCAAAATATGTAAATGTGTTATAGCCTTAACAATGGCCCTTGTCTTGGGTCAAGGAAGACTGCTGCCAAGTAAGCGCCGGTATAGAAAAGGGTGCTAGGCAGGAGTGGGCCGCCGCCGCGGCTGCTCTTAGTATTATTTTTCTGGATTTTGCCTGAAAAAATGGTTTTGGGAAATTCGTTACAAGTGATAAACAAATGGAGCGAAGCACTGGCCTCTGGCAGGGCTTTGAGATTGCCAGGGCCTGAGCTTGGTTCAGGCAAGCATCCCAAATTGGTTACAGTTGTGACTGAGAGAGGAAGAATCGGTCCCTGGTAAGATTAAAACAGGCAGATTTTGGTTAAATACGAAGAAATCATGCTTTGCATGCTCTTCTCTTTGTCATGTGGCAAAATTTATGCATAATGATGAATTGCTTAGGTACTGGAAACTGTTGTTTGCCTCCAGCAATTTTAAAACAGCAGGCTTCAGTTGGCTGCAGTAGACGGAATTTGGAGTCGGAAAATTATATTTCAAGAGGCGCTGCAGCGGGTTTCAGGGTTTCCCATTGCCTAAGTGACTGCAAGAAAGATGTTTTTAAAGTCTCGTAGGCTGAGCCTCAGTTTCTCTGCAACGCCATTTAATTGCTTATACGGGGGCTGGCACCCTTGAACATCACAAAATAGCATGCTGAGCCAGCAACGGAGGAAGATTAGGATGTTGCGGTAGGCGAAGATTCAGAGCGGTCTGTTTAAAGGCAGGGTGCCTAATCACAAGCACTTTCTCCTATTTGAAGGTACAGATTCCATTTCTGGTGCATTCGTTATTCTGTTTTAAGCCTTACAGAAATATCTTTTCAAGCCTCCAGACTTTTGTTTCCTTCAGCAAAATACATGCGTTAAACTTCACAGAGTGATCAAGTAGGATGGCCTGACAAACTAAATGTGTTCTTTTGTCTGATTTGTTTTTACAAGGCATGATTTCATGGAACTCATCATTATTTCCCTTTGGCCTTCTAGAACGACAAAGCTAGAAGAATCATCTATCACAACCCTCTAACTAAAAATAGATACTCTATATTTAAAACACCCATAACAGATAACTTCCCCACAAACATACACACAACACTTTTTTGCGATTTAAGGCTTCAAGGGGGAAGATGTCATAATGACTTCATAAACTTCCCGCAGACAAGGGTGTCCCAGGAAAGAGGAAGTGGTCGTGTTCAGCAGCCGACCTACGTCCTCCACCAGGTCCTGCTTCTCTCCACTGGATGCACAGGGATAAGTCTGGATCCAACCCAACATTCCTTGTCCTGAACCTAAGTGCACAAGCATCTTTCTTTTAATGGATAAACATGACAACCTTTTTCATACAGGCAACAAATTCTTGTCCGGCTCTATTTATACCTATTTAAGAATAAGGTATGCATTTCCCCTCGTTCTTTAGAGGTCTTTAAAATGAGAATTGTCAAATATTTTCTATGCTGAGGCCAGAGGCATTACTTTGTAAAAATGGCCATCTGCAGTCAGTACACCTGCAAATTGTCTGAGATGGCTCCTGGTCTGGATTATTACTTCCTCCATCAGGGTGTGGCCTGGCCATGCAGTGTTGGATAGATTTAACAGAGGCAGCTCGTCACTCATAATTTTTTGTGTGCACATTTAAATGGACATGTTGACTAATAAGGGATTTAGCTAAATTATAATTGCATGTATAGTATTTTGGAAATGCTAAAGAATGGGTTATGCTCTGTCATATTGACATTGCATGGATATTGTAAAAACCTGTATGCTTAGGAGTGTGGCTAAAACGACAACCCCAAGTTCCCTTTCTCAAAGGAAGTCCTCACTGAATATACTGGATCTTACTTCCAAACTGCCAGGATTTATGTCTCAGAAATTATTCATAGGCAGAGCTGACTTTTTCAAGCTCAGATGCTTAATTTTTTGCTTTGTAAAATAAAAATTCTGAGCTTTGCTACATCTATATTCAACTAGGCCTACCATGTACAGGACACGGAGGTTCAACATATATGTAAAATCAGTGCATAAACACGAGCAGATGCACAGCAATAGGAAACATGAACGCACACCACCCAGGCCCATGTCTCAGTCTGGAGGAAAGGATTGGGGTGCTAAAGCTGTGCTCCCACTCAAGCACAGCAGCACGGACAGCCCACTGGGGGCTGAACACTGGCTGGAAACGCGACTGTGAGATCTACATTAGCCAGAATGGGCCGTCAGATGGCAAATAATTTTCTCTCAGTTTTGATTTCACCTTAACAATGATCACGTGAGGCTATAAATAGCATGTGGGAGGATCAAAGGCAGCAGAACCATCATGTGTGAAAATGCCAGATGCCCTCACCATTTGCATGAGGAGCCAGCTTCTGCGCAGCCTACAGTGCCCGATCTTGCCTGATCTTGGAAGCTAAGCAGGCTCAGGCCTGGTTAGAATCTGGATGGGTGACTTAAGTGTATGATTCTATGATTACTGTTCCAAACTGATATGTTAACAACAGCAGCAATAATAAAAATTGGAGGATGAGATGACAGATCGGGTAGTGCTCAGATGGAAGTGATCTAAAAGGACTGGAGACAAACCATTGAAAGAAATGTGTCGATTTGAACAAAAGAAAGTGGCTGCATTTCCCTCCAATATTAAACTGATGCTCCCTTTGGCAATAAGAGTCAACCTGTGAAATAAATCTGCCTCCCATCAGTTAATTATGATAACACTAACTTCCTTTGCTCTCATGAGGGTATATTTTCCAGGGGATGATACTTTGCTTCAAAAGGCAAAGTGTACATATTGTCTGCAATTTAATTGTACAAACTCCACTAAATCTGCAAACTCATCAAAATGCTTTGGGCACCTCCAGTGCGAGAAATATAAGTTATGACAGACATTACTTGCACTGATGCATAACAAACACAGTCTTCTTCAGGCAGCTGCAATCCTTTCACTCTTGCAAATCACAGTAGCATACCAGAATTTCTGTTGTTACTTTTGTTGTTCTGTTGTTTCTCAAGTTAGTTTTACTTTTCCCCCTCAAAATTACGGAACGGTCATTTTATATTTTTTTTCCACAACCATCTCTAACCTCTTAACAATTTCACTAGCAAACTATGGCATGGTTCAAGCATGCAATTCTTGGCTTGCTAAACCATGGTCTGGCAGCTGGGCACAAATGACAGGAGCGTATTCTTCCTCCCCACCTCCTCCTCTTGCCTTCTCCCTTCTTTTGGACTTGCATCCTGGTTTAAGTCAATCAAAGTTAGGTGTTATTTCTGGAATGCAGAACCATGGTTTGATGTCAGTTTGAAGTTGATTTAAGACTGTCTCCTAGTTTGGATGTGACAGCAAACTACAGCTAAATTACACTAGGATGACAGTCCTAAGGAAAGGAGGTGGTGGCAATGGAATAAGTGGTCCTAATATTTCCCAGTTAGATTCCAGCTTAGAATATTCTGCTATTAGTAAAGATTTAAAATACCGTTTCACAGAATTAGTGCATCCCAGAAAACTGGTTTTTTTCTGCATTTTCCATAACCTTGGAGTTTTTGTTATGAAAGAGCATTCAGTGGGGCAATTCTACATTCTGAAGAAAGGGCTAGAGCAGGCATCAATTTATATCTGTATCTCACAATGATGCCTTAAGAATTTATTTCAGAGCAGGTGCAGGTAGGGCTCCCAATTCAGAAATTTAAAGTCCCTCTACCCCAACACCAGAGTCTCCAAGAACCCCTGTACCAATGCAAAAACAATAAACAAACAAATTTTTAAAATACTGTACATATTTAGCTGTTAGATATGGATCTAAATGGATCTACGTGGCAGACTTTTCTTGCAAATGAAACGAACAGTATAATATCCTAATGATTCCCTTACCTGAGGTCCAGTTCCAGGCTTGAAATGATAGCCAAAAACAAGTTCAAGGTTTACTACTTTTTCTTCACTTGCCTCATTTTCACTGGCAGAATCCTACCCCAGAAAGAAAAGAGGAGTCATTTTCGTTTAAGTTCAGAGCAAAACTATTATTTGACAGATGGGGTTAAACAATTTACCATTTTGAATCTGATTAAACCATTCTGACTCTATTTAAGTTGTCAATGCAAAAAAGGAATCTTGCCTTGTCCAAATTCTGGAAATGGTTTCCCTCTAACCATAAACTGTAAGGCAGTTTTTAGACAGAGGTCACAATGTGCAACAAGACTGTGCCAGGAAGCTTCCACAGAGGGTTCGAAGGGACTGTTAATACGCTGGTGTAAGGCCAGAGCACTGTCCCTGCTGCTGCTGCTGCCAATCTGTGTCCAGGTTATGTAGCTTTGGATAGCCAGTAAGCAAAAGAGGCATTTTGAGGCAATTGCATACCAGTTGTTCACAGGTTCTTTAGACCCTCCCATTTCACTTCTGGGTCTAACCAGACCTTTTCTTAGAGCAGAAAAATGTGCCATTTCTTGTGAAAGTGAAAGGAAGCATGATTCCCTCTTGCTTATGTGCATGTTTCTGCCTCACCACCATGCCACTTCCAGGTTAAGTTGCAGAAAAGCAGGAGAGGGAATACTCCTCATCCTTTGCTTAAATCCACAAGGAAACCGAAAGTAAATGCAGCAGAATAGCGGCTGACCAACATCCTCTTGCAGAAAAGCCCTAAGGGTGAAATCCAGCGTTGCACAGATGGAAGGAAGGAAAGCCCATGCGATGGACCTCCCCCTCGCCCCACCCCAAGCAGCTCCCTTGTTCTGGGGATTTCCCCGCGATGGGTTGTGTTGCCTGGGTCCAGACGACACAACGAGCCATTGTGGTACGGAGAAATCCCGGAACAGACTATCATTTCTTATCATGGCTCTCAAGCAAGTCACTATGGTAAATCACCACAAGTAGGTTTTGACGACACAACAACGATCATTGATAATGTTCAGGGGTGGCTTGTCATGTTGTACAAACCTAGTCACTGCGATTGAACACTGTTTTGATCTTGTTGGGCTAACAAAAACTACTCCCAAATACAAAAATAAGCAAACTGATGTTTCCATTGGGCTTTCTCCACTAGTGAAAGGCCTCGGCTTGCTCACTTCTTCCCAACAGAAGCTGTTCTATAGAAATCGGCCTCCTATACGTCCTCAGGTCTCAGAACTATTAATGGCGAATCTGCACAATGAGGTTGGCCAGCAAGGAGAGGACTGGCAGCCCCATCTCATAACCTCTGTACTCACTTGGGCAAGGCACACACAGTTTCTAAGTTGTGTCGAATGCCTGCAGAAGCAAGTGAGACCAAATGGCCGAATTTAATTGCACAGAACTGGAAGCTGGAGGGACAAAGGGTGTGTTATGACTCTAGAATATCATCTATGGTGACATTCCCCCACCTGGTACCTTCCAGATGTTTTAAACTACACTTCCCAACATTCCTGGGAGCTTGCTGGCTGAAGCTGACAGGAGTTGGTGTCCAAAACATATGCATGGCACCAGGTTGGGGGAAGGTGAAGGCCTTCTTGGCTCCTAAGGCGTACTTCTCACTGACGTTGTATCTGGGCTGGGCTGCTTCAAATGGCCGGCAAGGGTTCACATGGTCCTCCGTGCCAAAAGCTCTGCATACCCAAGATATTGATGGGCCAGCGAGGGCAAAACATCTTCCTGAAACCAGCTTCTCTGATCACATTAGCCCTTACCTGTGGCTTGAAGTGTTATAGCTCCAATGTAGGTTTACCACCACTTCCCTGCTATAAATTTGATCCAAATATGCCATGAAAAATTGCTACTATTAGTAGCATAAGCCTTGTATTTTTATGGGTTAAATAAAATCACAGTTACCTTCATCAGAGGAGGAAAATGAAACATAGTGATGTAATCTTGACTTAGTTTCTCAATGGCGGTCTAAGAAGGAGCGGGAAAAAAATCCAAGTAAATCCAAGAGTAAGCTTTCTACACAGGATAGACAGGTATTCTCCCACCAGGCCCCTTCCAACTGAGAGCCCCCATGCAAAGTTTCCCTTCCTGTGTGGCTCCCTATTGCTGCCACCGGCTGCAGGCGGCAACGAGGCATCTGCCCTCTTAAGTACCACAGTGCCCATGACGCAGTGCTGCTCCAAGCCACTGTGGGCACTTGCAGTGGCCGGGTGGCAGTGGTAGCCATCCAAGGCAGGTGGCCCAGGTGGCCCATCTGTGTGGGGCTCATCAGAGCGATGGGGCCACTCCTGAGCTCCCTCTGGGGCAGTTCTCAGGTGACTGACTGTAAAGTAGCAAGCACTCTGGCTGCCTCACTGTCGGGCGACCCAAGCTGCAGACAGTGGACACGGGGGCTGGAATGGGGGGTTCATCCACCTGCGCATCCTGGAGCCTTCTGCATGCAGAGCACGTGCTGTAATGCGAACGGTGGCTTCACTGCAGGGAAGCTGAAGGACTATAATAGAAGGAGCCTAATTATGGCACCCCAGACATATGGAAATGGTGCTCCCAGTCAATCTCTTCTCCTCTTGTTTTAGTCCCGTGGGCACTTCGCTTCCCTTCAGACTCTGAAAATCCCAGCCAGCTAGGACCACATTTGCAAAACCCCCCAAGCATATCGGTGCAAGTAGTGTCCTTAGCTATTTTCTCTCTCCCATGTCCTCGTTTAGGGTCCCATAATGTCTGTACAGTCCTATCTACCTTACAACCAAAAGGGTTGATTGGGTGCAATCCCATCAGTGGCACCCTCAGTGACTCTTAAGCCTTCAAGCTTGTGTTCAGTGCAGGGCAGGAGGCATGGCAGAGGAGCTGTCTAGCCTGTCAGGTTTGGAGGCTGGGCGACGAGGGGAAGGAAAGTGGGAAGAAAGCGGCTGCAAGATGCTTGGATCAAATCAAATCCTAGCCTCTCATGCTCTGCTCCCTGGAATGCCTCTTTTCTCCTTCTCTGAGGTTGCTTCTCTGACTTCAGAGGGCAGCTGCATTGCTTCTTCTCACATTAGCTATGAGGACCAAGGGAGGATGGTTGGACCTACAACTTCTACTTCCAAGGTCAGAGTACTGTCTCTGATCTGGCAAGGTTATATTCAAAGAATCCTACAGGCCCTGAGACACCTGCTTAGGGACCATATGTTCATTCTCTTAGTAGGCATGGTAGACTAGACTTTGGGAAACTGATTTATCGATTCTATTCTGTCCAAAGCTGCACTGTACAAAAATCTATGGATTTATTTTTTGCACCTGCTAAAAATTTAACAAGTTCTATAAGTGCTCTAGTTTGCTTTCATTGTATTTTCTTCTTCTCTGGTAGGTCAGCAATTCTTTTAGTCCTGAGTGGTTAGAGTTTTCAAAAACGATTTTAATATATGAAATGCTTAATTTCTTGTGACAGCTCCATTATAATCCAAGGCTTGTACTTTAGCTACCTTCAAATGAATGATGTGTCCTTTGGAAACAATTCCCATGTCCTTCAAGTCCTCTTCTTCCAGAAGAAGTAATCGTTTCCCTGTGATGTGATGTTCTTTAAACAAGCTGGAATATATGCTCATCTCACCAGATGCGTCATCTGAAGATAATGAGAAACTGTTCAGAAAACTGGACACATAAAAGTCATTTCTTGTGAATTTGGTTTCTTCCCTAAAGTTGAAGGTGACTATAGCCCAAGAAAGGTGCAGCTCTCTGGTATCCGAAGGTTAAGAAACCTAGATTAAGAACATCTGAGGACTGCAGTGATAAATCTTACTCTTCACCTATCTTTAAGTCATCTTTCAAATTACAGAATTGTCAGGGTCCACTTGGTAGCTTCCAGCAACCGTTGGACAGCGCTTGTGCTTCCTGGCTTGAATTGAGTGCCCTTTTCTGTGCTAGCCAAATGATTCTGTGAAAGTCCACTCAATGAACTGGAGAAACAGTGGCCCTTGGCCATGCTCTTCTATGCCTCAGTTTGTATAGGGAGCCCACAGATAGGCCGGGTCTCCCTTAATGGAGGACTTTAGCTAAATGACTCACCGAAACCCCAGTATCTTTCTGCTTAAGGCATCATCATTAAGAGAGTGGCTACATTCTTTGTACAGTCAATACAAATTAGGAAGAACTTCTGGCTCCTCTGAGATGTCATTTGTGTTATTATATATTCTCCTCAATTAACCTTGATTGACCCATGTCCCGCATAAACCCCTCACTCCTGCAAGTCTTGTGAGATAAACATATGAAGAGTCTTACCTTTCCTAACAAGCTGGTCCATCCAAAAGTACTGTGAAAGAAAGACATGGATTTCATGATTCAAGGCACAGCAGCTTCAAATGTCATACCAAATTGGCAAACATTATGTTGTAAAGTGCTCTCCCTGAGGCTCAATTTAAACCAATAGGAGTCATGTAAAGTACTGCAGCACATTTAATCAGCAGCCAGAGGTCCCAGAACCAAAGCCAAAGCATCTCCCTGCTTGCTGCTGACTCAGTGGCCAGAGAAAGATGCAGCCCAAGTGGCGGCTGAGCAGACAGAGGAGGCCTCTTCTGGGCAGAAAGCAGCAAAAGGGCTTGCGCAGCCACTCTGGTTTTGCTCCTTAAAGAAACCGGACAGGAAAAATAGTGGGAGGGGAATGGGAGGGCTGCGAACAAGGAGCTTCCCCGGACCCTTCCGCTGCCCTGCTCCTGCACAAGTCTTGGAGAGGCAGTGGACAAAAGGCTTCACTGCAGGCGCGTCGCCCGCCACTGCATTCTGACTGACCCTCCTGCAAAGCCAGCTGCCAGTCGGGCGGCACTAGAGCCAGTGTGGCAAGGGGGAGGGAGCGCTGGACTGGGGACCTGGGAGATCCGGGTTCAAGTCCTCACTCAGCCATGCAGCACACCAGGTGACTTTGTGGCACTCCCTCCCTCTTGGCCTCACCTGCCTCACAGGCTGGTTGTTGTGAGGGTAAAATGCAGTGGAGGAGCACTGCACGGTGGAAGTTGCCTTGGGCTCCTTACGAGAGGGGAAAAGTCAGGATATGATTGCAAGGCAAGAACAACATTTCATTTTGGTGGGTACAAGTGGATAATATGTATGGTATGAATTACCAAATGCGTTTGAGCCACTGAGCCCTTGTGATTATGATTTCTTATAAAGAGACGCTGTGCAATTTACAAAGCTTCTCAAGGTGGTTTCTAACAGAAAGCCCCCCACAGGTAAGAAAATTCCCACCACACAGACAGAGGGCATGGACGTTCCATCTCAGTTCCATGATATAGTGATAGATTACGGGCATCCTTAGCTAGAACTATGTTCAACACATCTATAGTAACATATACAGTAGATAACTTGTCATGTGTTCTACACACCTATAGTAGAGGAGGAGCAGACCCAACTGCACAGGTAGTAGCAGCCATTAGTCTGACAACCTCTTCTCCAGAAAGGAGAAAATGAGAACAGCCCTTTCTGTACTGGGGCCTCCTCTTCTCCTGAAACCTCCACTAGTGTTATTTTCCGTCCACTGGTGTTCTGGACCTGTGTTCACCTGGAACCCTACGACAGGGCTGAGAGCCGGTGCTTAAGAGTGCTGGTCGGGGATCTGGATTCTAGTCTTCCCTCAGCCATGGAGCCAGCTGGAAGACTCTGGGCTAGTCACAGACTCTTGGCCTAATCTAGCATACAGGGTTGTTGAGAAGATACAGTGGAAAGGAGGAGAACCTTGTGGGCCTCCTTGAACTCTTTACAAGAAAGCCAGGTATGAATGGAATGAAGGTCAAGAGAGGTGGAGGCAGGGCAAGAGAATTCCAAGGGAGAGGAACAGGCTGAAACACCCCCTTCCCTGCCCTGTTCTTTGCTGTTCCACTTGTCCGGTAAATTGCCAAGAAGCAGCAGTGGCTTTTTCTCACCATTTCATGCTTGTTCCATTCAAGGGGAATTATGTGGCCCGCCAAATGCTGCCAGATGTCAGCTTCCATCAGCCTCAGCCAGTTCTGGCCAGGGAGGATGAGAGTTGTAGTGCAACATCTGAAGAGCCACAGGTTCAGTACTCCTCGTTCAATGCTTAGAATTGCCTACTCAAAGAAGACGTCAGCAAAAGTAAAGCATCTGAGAGAATGAAGGAAGGCTACTCACCACATCTTCTTCAGTCCATGCACAGATATCAAAGGAAGGCAGCAACTGTGTAAGAGACATGAATTTAAAAGTGCACTGTTTCTTTTCTTGCCTTTCTGGGCTTCCAGCTTCCTTTAGCAGTTGGTCTTCGCTAAGCATTTCTTTGTAAATAATACAGACAGTTTGCCTTGAGGGAATTCTGATAGTGACTGATATACAGATGGAAGTATCTTAGAGTCTGAAACAAGATCACTCTCTGCTCAATCAAGCCGCTCCCATCTGACATAATTTTTGCTCATTTCTCTTGACTCCTCCTTGCAGGGCAATGTTGTTGCTGTTTATATAAATTGCTTTGTATCTTTCACTTGACAGGTCAAAATTTCAGCACGTATTTCATCCTACGCATGAGAAAGTCAAACTGGAACTAAACCAAATCAGCATGAGTGATTTTGCTTTAATTAATATGACAAAGTCTATTTGAATTTGCTTTTGGGTTTGCAAACTAAGTAGGCTGTTTGAGAATCATATTTCAATATTTGTGAGATAAGCAAAGGTGCAATGGATATTTAGTTGATTCCTTGTTAAACATCCTGAAGTGATGAGGAATGTTACTTTAAAGTCCAAACACAGATTTGATTCTCAGATTTGAGAAGCACTGTGCACTTTAGCAATAGAAACCAGTATTATTGTTAATAAATAATAGAATATTCCAAGAGTGGAGCATGGAGCATCTAACTGAACAATCTCAGCAGTTGATGGTTATTCCACCTGTTAGGAACTTCTCATTGGTACCCTCACAATCAACGAATCCATACCAATTGACATCATTCACATGGAAGGATCCTCTCTCTCTCAGTGGGAAACTAATTCACAAAGCGTGGATCTTTCCGCAGGTGAACTAGCACTACCCACTGTCAAAATGGGAATTTCAGCATGGAAAATGCAGGGCTTGGAAAGGTACAAAAATAAATTAAATTTAAAATTTCATTTGTGTGTGGAAAAAAAACAACCTCAGCAAAAAAAAAAATAAAAACCAACCCTGCCCTTAGATTTATGCAACATGCCCCCCATTTGCTTCCAAGTCACTAAATTTGCATCATTCCCCTGTTCAAAAAGGGGGCAAAAGGCTCAAATCTAAAAAAGAAAAAAAACTGACAGAGGTGGTGCAACAAGATAAGGCAAATGGGACACCAGCATCGGTAGCCCAGTGGTGCTTACACTCCCTCCCAACCACCAGGACCCCAGCGGCTCTTCCTCACTCAGCTGCCTTCTCAGGGCTCTTCCAGATCTGTCACGTTCACTGCAGCAGCAAGTGGCTCAAACAGAAGCCATGGAAAGAAGCTGGTCTCTCCTCTCTCTCTGACAACTTGGGGAAGCACTGAAAAGCTGGAGGGCACCAAGAAGCCCCCTACTAAACGGGAGACATGGATTCTCCTCCTTGGATTCGCCTCCTTTTCAGTGCTTTCCTATTGATAATTCAGCAGTTGGCCTCAGTCAACTGTACACAAATCAGCCTATCCGCAATATCACCTGGTCAATTTCCATGTGTATTACCCACTCCATTTTGCAGCTCCCCTTCGACAGCTGAAACATACAAGGAAATTGACAAGACTACATGTATTGGATAGCCATGAGAGTATATTCCTGCACTTAAAAACATCCGAGAAAGAGCATCTCAAATTTACTTGTACAACTTTTTGGACAGAGAGACAGAGTGACAAAAGAGAGAGAACTCCAGTTGTTTCTCTGAGGCTCCAAAAATAATTTTAAAAACAGCAAAAAGGGACAGTGATTGAAGACAGGATGGCTTATGATGCAAAAGATCCTGAGATACTGGCTAAGGCCTCGGGGAAACCAAGCAGTGGTGAGCTCAGTCATCTGTCTGGCATATCATGGCTATTTCATGAACAACTCTGATCAGTCATAGCGTGGCTGATCATGACATTAGAATGTAGTCTCTATGAAACATGGAGCTGAAGATGCTGTGGGTATCGGCCCTCTCTCTTCCTTGCAAGATCTAACTCAAGGCAATGCACGCATGGTGTGCCAGTGGTGTTTTTCCACATACGTTGGCAGGCAAGGGCCATGGGCATAGTTTAATGACATTTTCTTATGGAAAAAGGAAGAGACTTTGCATATGCTGATGCAGAGCATCAGGAATCAACTATGTCTAGTTCAGACCCACTTTAGACAAAAGTAAGTGCTACTAGATGGGCCTATGTTACTGAGTTCACATCTAAATTTAAGGCAAGCCTTACAATACACAAACTTCATCTACAACATGGTGGATGACAAGAGTTACATGGGAAATGAGTTGATTTTATAATATGCTTGAAATAGGATGAGCCCAGAGAATACACATCTCACTATCTGCATGATTAAACACCATAACAATACTCCACACTAAGTGGTTTGGTATTTTCTTTCTCTCTGAAGGTATACTCTATTTACATGATTTATTTGTCAAAATGGTAAGTTCCAGAATGGCCCCCTTCAACATTCCATTGGTAGCTTTAATGAAGCTACCATTTCCAGGAATGCAAGATGGGCAATTCAGAGTTATTTAATTATGTCTATAAAACAGAAATATATGCTCAGAACCATGGAAAACTGACTGGAGACTGTGAAGAATTGTTGTTGGTTCTCCCAATGAGAACTGGATTTCCTAAAGCATCTAAGAGTGATGGAAGTGTCTCCCTAGAATCTCTTGGTCCAAAATGTAGTTCTTCTAATAGCTTCATATTAATTTAAGTTCCAGGCTGCTGCCATTTCTCATCACCCAGGACCAAAGTTGACTCTTACAGGAAGAGGGAATAAAGTCTGATCTCTTGCGCAGTAGCACCATCAGCTTGATGCAGGTTCTGGGCAAAAGACTGTTACTTGCTCAGGAGATTCATAACATTTCAGCCTCCCTTCTGTACATGTTCCATGCAGTGGTCCTAAATAGCATCTGTGCCTCCTTCCACATGAAGACATCTAGCCTGCTCAGTGGAGACGAGAAGGTATCAGGATTTGGCCAGTGGTGGCTCCAAGTTCAGCAAAGTAGGATATCCACTCTGGTTTGAACACTGGGCTTTACTCTCAACTTTTACGGAGCTATCCATGGTGCTAAACCCTACCCGCGAAACAGGTTTAGCATTTTAGAGCTCCCTTAATGATTTTTTAAAAAATTCCCTTTGTCCAAGAGCAAAACCCAAGACTCAGAGTCTAACCAACAGCGGGACCCAGAACGCAAAGCACAGTTGTTTTCCATGTATTCTGGACAGCACCAGGATGTTAACAGCTACCACGGGCGCACCATGAGGCCCCTCCTTTAAACACGTGTTCTTTAATGCAGGACTACAGATGTTCTTTTCTTTTTCCTTTTTTTATTCTTCTGTCAAAATGTTTATTGTAAAGTCAGCAAGGAATCAAAGAGAAGGAAAGGAAAACAGCTCACAAGAAAGTAAGATTTATGACACCAAAATGGGGAGGAAATCGATTACATTGCAGGGTGTTGTTAATAACGAGAAAAGCAAATCCATTCTATGGATGAAGCAAGACATCACATGGTTAAATGTTGTAATGAAAAAAAGGCTAACCACAAAAGGTCTTGACATGCAAGAGTGTAACATTTTACATTCCATACAAATTAGATATTCTGTTTACACACTGCAGTAGTTTTGGCACAGAGTTCACCCGGCACAGCAGTTTTTAGAAAAACAAATTTGAACTTTTCTAAACACTGTGAAAATACTTTCCATTTACATTTCCATACATGTCTGGAATACAAATAATATTGTTTCCTTATTAATAAGTATAAAACATTTCAACAGTGCAAAGGCAAAAAAATTGTAGTGTGCTATATTAGATTTCAATAGAGAGGCATTACAAATTTCTGAAACATAAAATGTTTTCTATCATTGCCTCCATTATAGTTCTGAAATCACTCCTCACCTATCAAGAAAGCTCTAAGCAGGCTTGCAAGTGTTTATTGATTAAATTAAAAACCTGAAGAAAAAGTGAAGAGTTTCTTTACCAATTTCTGTGAGTAGGGGTAGGCGTTAGGGCTTGGAAGCAGCTGTTGCCAAATCCTACTCAACTGTTAACTTAAACAAAAGTCAGAAAAGCTGATAAATTCAGTGGTCTTGTGCAATGGTGGTCTGATGGCAGATCTTGCAGATATTCTCTAATTCAGCTCTCCACAGCTCCTGCCAACATGGAGAATGGTCAGGATTGCTGGAAGCCAAAGTCAAAAACATCTACTTTCTGCCCACTCCTGTTCATTCTTTATACTACAGAAACATCTCAACCTGACTCCTTTCAAGGCTTTTCTGGGGGGAAAGGAGTTGACCCAGTGGCTGAAAAACTACAGTACAAATAAAACACATATGGTGGTAGCTATGCAGACTCTTCCAACAAAATATAACCACCAAACAGTTATAGTTCCCTGAAGATCATGCCCTGCTACGGCTGCTGGTCTAAGAGACTTTTGTAGTGTCTGTTTGACCATTTCAGTGGGACAAATGGATGGGCACAAACACACACACACACACACACACACACACACACACGACTATACTGCTTACAAGGAAGACTCTGCAGTCCTCAATTCTCTGAAGAACTATTGTGCTTAAACCTTAAAGACGTTTAGTGCTCTCTGACTGCAAAGCACATGACAATGCGGTATCTCAGTGAGGCCTCGCAAGCACTGTGCTTCAGTAGTGTACGAATACTTATCTCTGGATGCTCGGCACTACATTAAAACTTAATGTGATAAACAAACAGGTAGTGAACATGGATCAAGGTACTTCAGATCCAACATTTCTACAAACAACAAACATGAGATACTTGGTTTTGCAATGAAGACTGCAGCCCTGGACATAAAACCGCACTGAGGACGGAAGGACGGACTTCTGTGTTAACTATGCAAAGATTTGTACTGCATGAAGACTGGAGATGCTCAGTTCACCTACATCCAGCCAATACAGTATATCCATCTGACTCGCATCACTCTGTGCATATTATCTGTGTATGTCAGCTGGCTTGATTGCAAGATTGTAATATCAGATTTAATTATAATTAGC